AATTGCATTATAATTGTATTGTAATTGTGTTGTTAAGACTTATAACTATAAAATAATAATATTAAAACTATATTATTTTAATATAATATTTGTATAATTAAAAAAACCTATGTAAACCTATGTTTCAGCAAAGTAACTGAATATGATCCAGAATTTATGAGCAAGATTTTTCAATATTATAGCTTTGATGCATAATATCAATTTAAATATATTAGACAGTATGTACTTATAAATTTTGTAAAATAATAAAAATTGTAAAAAATATTAATAAAAAAAAATTTAATATAAAAATGGATTGATGTAATATTTTCAAATAAAATCTATATAAATTTGATATGATAATTTTAACGTGTTTATGATCATAATATTACAGTATATATTCAAAAGTTAAAATAACGGGCTCCAAAATATGTAATTACAATATTATACTTAGAGTTTGAAATCGGTTTTATTTTTCTGGATCCTATCATTTCCCTGACAATTTCAAAATCTTGATAAGTTAACCTGCATTAGGTTAGGGTTAAGGTTAGCTCTGGTCAATTTTTGTCTGGACTTTATTTGTCGATAAAGTGATTATCGGGAAAATGATAAAGACCCTATTTTTCATGTGTTAAAAATGGTCTTAATGAGATTCTTAAATTTAACTTTTACAAGAGGACTCTCTTTGATGGTTAGGGTTAGAATGTGCACTATAATTGTTCTTTTTTCGTGATAAGGTAAAGATACTATGTAGAAAGAACTTTCTTCAAAAATATTTTTTACGATCCTATCCAATCAACAAAAGATTTTCTAATCGATTGGTTGGATCAAATAAATTGATCTGATTGGTTGATTACGTGATTACGTGATGTATTTTCCTGAACATTTTAGTATTTTTAAACGTTTAATCTTTCTTAATTTGATATTACAGTATTATAATATAATTTATGCATTCTGTTTTAATTTGTTTTATATTTTTCAGCATGCTGCTTCAAAATGCCTATATTATTTTTGGCTGCCATAAATATTTCTAGCTGTTGAAATTCTTTTCGGCTATCATAATTATCTTTGGCTGCTGAAAATTATTTTGGTTGCTAAAAATAACTCATAATTTATTATCTATTTGCAGGTGATTAATGTTGGTTTGTTTGTTTTTTAATTTTTAAGGGATAAGTTAAATAAGTATCAATTCTATCCCCAATTTTTTTTGCTTCTTTTTTTCATTGAATACGATATAACTAAACTAGATTTATGAATTGTATTGAAATTTTTATACAAACGATGATGAATTCTATTAGTTTGTTGAAAATGTAATAATAAATAGGATTATGTAACCTCTGCAACAATATAAAGAAAAATGAAATTAGGAAATTTACACAATATGAAACTTTTGAAAGAGAGGTTGGTGGTAGTATATGTGAAAGCTTTAGACTATTCGAATGTTAAGGTTAAATAATAATATTACGCACGTAACAAAGTATCCAATCAGGTGTTCGGTAATTAAGATAAGATACAACTTGCAATTTCAAATTTACGTTATTATCTCGTATCACCATAACTTATCAATTATCTTCTGAATGCCAGGGATAATAACGCAGTCAAGTTGGTAATTTGGTCCAATGAACATGCCTAATTAACAATAGATAAACAAATATAATGAGCTTATAAGCACAAAAGTAAAAAATCGTAACAATGTGTTACTCTTAAATTTCAAAACGGCTATTTATAATAATAGATCCATTGCAAATTTAAGTTGATTGAAAAATTGAAAATTCTGTGATACAAATTAAATTCTGTTATATTGTAGCCGTCAAGTATGTGTTCAGCCATCAATTCTAAAAATAAAACTTTTCAAAGACTTAGGCTCGCATATCCGTGGAATTGAATTAAAATAATAAATATAATAACGATAGGAAATAAATTAGAATGGATGACATAGCTGATGTAAATATGTTTAGTAGAAGTGACATAGCTATTGCCTATGACGACGCATATTATTATATACCGTGACGAAGCAAAATTTCTACGTGGCAGATAGTGATTTTGTATAAGACTCTTCTGTGCGTTGATGCATGCACGTTAAAATTTTTATGTGAAGCGTGTTGTCTCGGCTATAACAAATGACACTTATCATTGTTCAAGCACATATTTTTTCGATCTTTAACAGCTGCCCTACCTTGTTTAGAGCGTCTGGAGTGCGTCGAGTGTAACCTGGGTTTGAGCATCTTCCTGCGTTGCGAATACAAAGTAAAATTTCCAATTATATAATATAATTGGAAATATTACTTTGTATTCGTAACGCAGGAAGATGCTCTCCTTATGCAAACCCAGGTTACACTCGACGCACTCCCGACGCTCTAAACAAGGTAGGGCAACTGTTAAAAATCGAAATAAACCTGTGCTCATTGTTCATAATAGCATTGACGTCATTTTTGGTGGCTAGTGGTTACCTAGCTTTTTTTTTTATGATAACTTAATAATAGGCTGGTAAGGTATACACCTAATAATAGACAAATGTAGCAACAAACAAAACTATAACATCAACAATAATTGTGTAATTGTATAAGGTTACAAAAGTGGAAATTATACAACAGATCGAAAAGACGGCTAAGAAGCACGCCGACAATCGGGTTTCCTTTATCAAAAAAATCCCGGGCTGAAGATCATGATTCCGGAGCCCAAAGATTCAATTTCTTTACTATTCTATCAAATTTAGCAAAACTTTTTTTTATTTTGATTCTATATATTTGTAAATTTTTTTTTAAAAAACTAATTCATTGAATTTGGATATATGGGAGTTAAGGAATTATCGTTTGAAGCTTCAAAAAGAAAAATTTTGCCGATTTTAGATTTTTTTTTTTCGATATTTCAAGTTTTTCGAAACTTCTAGCGAAGGTTTCTCGACAACCACTAAACCAAAATTCAATGATCTTTTTTTATTTTAATTTTACAAATATATAAAATCAAAATAAAAATTTTTTTAATATGATAAATTTAAGTTTAAAGAAATTCAATATTCTTGGAAGGATTTTCATTTTAGTTGATTCCAGGGATGGTAAATGACCTTCAAATGACCTCAAATGACCTCAAATGACCTCAAATGACCCCAATTTTATTTTGATTGGTGAATATTTGGGCTCCGTAATCAGATCAGAAAGGATCTACGGCGATCTTCAGCTCTTGAAATAAGGGAATCACCGACAATCACATTGCAGCCTGGTAAAGATTGCAGGTGAACCCGATAAGGACGACTATGAAACCTAATCAAGTAAATCAGAACCTCGACGTCGCATGAATTCAAATGAGTACGTACGTACGTACGTATAACGCAATAAACTGCTTATATTTGGAGGCGTGAAATTATTATTAACAAAGAAAGCGGGGAACACCGCGGGAAATCATCGCGAGAAGCGAACAAGATTCGCACCCGAGCCTGCATCCAGTAATAAAATTTGTCATGTGCGTGCAGTGCTTTTCGATATCAATGTGTTTATTTTTACTGCCTAATAAATTGTTCTTATTTCAATAAAATGATATGTAAAAGCATGGAATTCCGTTCGCTTATCTCAACTCAACACTAAACATCTAGAAAAGATATTAAAAAGATAAAATTATTTAATAAATTTAACAATATAATTCTTCGATACTTAAATTTCCCAGAAATCAATTCAATCAATCTTCAATTCATATTTATCGAAAAAAAAAATGCATACTTTATCTCAATTAATCGTTTATTCACTCACTGGTTCAAATGTTGTTCCAGCAAAAAAGATTACAAAAATTCCTTATATTCCTCCTGAAATTATTCGTATTATTCTTAGTTTCTTAAGAAATGATAGAAAAGCACTCGCTGCTTGTGCTTTAGTCAATCATACTTTTAACCTTCATGCTACATATCATACTGTCGGATTTACTTTTCCTCATACATTTACACTTTTCGTTAATGCCTCAAATGATATTAAAAAGCGTTGTTCTCAAATGGTTCGTCACTTAGATCTTTCTAGTTTCTCTACTTGTGGCTTACAAAAAAGTTCTTTCGAAACGCAAAATATCGTCACTCCAGACCTTTTAATTCATATTCTAAAATCTTTCCCCGAATTAAACGCTTTTTCCGTATCTGAATCTTTGGAATCTGTAATTACCCTTGATGTTTTGAAGGTTTTATTTTTAGAATGTAAAAACATCAAAGCTATCAACTTTTGTGGTTGCGCTATTAGCGCTTTAGACGAATTTTCCCGATTAATTGGCCGCTTTAAAATAGAAGAAAAAAATATTTCTTTTCACATAACTTCCAACCCTTTATTATCCCATTTACAAAGACTCTCATTTCATGAATGTCCTACTATTTCTGAATATTCAATTATCATACCCCTTCTCGCACATACACCAAATCTTACACATCTTGATTTGGGTGGTTGTTATATCAGCGATTTAACTTTAAATTTCTTAGCTGGAACAAATATTCCAACTAAATTATCTCATTTATTATTGGCTAAATGTAAAAATATTTCATCCGATGCTATTTCATCTCTTGTCTCCAAATGTTCTCAATTAGAAACTCTTAATCTTTACGGTGATACTACTGCTATTAAAGAATGTGATTTAGTAACCATACTTAATTCACCTAATGCAAAGAATTTCCGAACATTGGATATCGGATCTTCGCAAATAACACTTTTGATTTTAGCAACTATCAAAGAGAATTGTCCATCATTACAAAGTCTTGGAATTTCAAAAACTCAAATTACTAACTTGAATCTTATTAGAGATCTTTTAATATCATTACCGAATTTACAATACATTGATCTCATGTTTTAACATTTTAAATACAAACAATCTACTTAAAAAGAATAAGCATCCTATTCACACCAGTGTTACATTATGACCAATATAATCTATATGACCACTCATAGATTATTTAGTCATTTTGCAGATTATGATAATATATGACCAATCATAGATCATGCAAATATATATAATCTATGACTTTTAGTTATATAGATAACTAATAAAATCTTTTATGATGATATGCTAAGAGGAAACTCTAATTTAGGTTACAACTTTTTTTGACCATAATTTACATTAATTTTAATGATAAATAGTATGCATACTATGTAATAAGCCTGTGTGTATGCTCTGAATTATGTATGTAACTTTTTTTTTAAGTTTATAGTATTTAGTTTAGAACATTATTATTTGGTGCCCTATGCATTTGGTGCACCCTTTTATATAACTAATTTATTATTATATATATATAGAAATTGGTTAAAGCGAAGTTAATTGACTATTAATTTACATAGTGCATAAGTTATATTTTTAATGTCTACGTATATGTTGTTATGTAAATAACTATATTAAACTAATTTTTAGTTTCATTGGCATGTTTTTTTTTACAGCTTCTAATATTATGCCCTGTTCGTTGCAATATTTACATTTATTACTTCATGACTTTGTAGCTGATTGTAGTTGTTGATTGATTTCAATACTACTAAGAATTCTTCGTTCTTCTCGTGGACAATCTTTTTGTCATTTTCTTAAAGGATTTTTAACATCAATACTTGAAACTTTTCTTTTTTTTATTCCATTAGTATCAAACTCTATATTATTTGAAGAATCTGAAAGTAATTCATCATCTGATGTATTGCTTAAAGCATTCTCATCTAAAATATCTATGTCACTAGATTAGTGATTATTATTAGTATTAAGAATTGTATTAATCTCTTTTTCTTGAAAATTTTTAAGCGCTTTAATCAATCTCTTGTCTAAATTTAATTCAACTACTTGATTTACTATAGTTTTTGCAAGACCAAATACTTTAGCAAATTGTTGCTTAGTATTTAAATACTGTTGAGCAATTTCTTGATTCTCTTTTGTTAATCCATTAATTTCATTTGACATAATAGGTATCCATTGTTTAGGAAATTGTGTTGCTAAGTTGTTCATATCATTAGCTATCAAACCAATAAAGTTTTGATTACTTAAATCAGTTTCGTACATTTCATTATTAAACCAATGGCAATTGATCATATTAATATGAAATCTGGCTGTTGTGATTATACGTATTATTTGAAAAAATATTTACAGATCCAGCCTGATGTAATAGATAATTTACATGTACATTTATAATTGCTATTTTTTAGAAGAAAACAAATTGAGGTAGTGCAGTATATATTATATATCAAACTTCCCATATTGAAATTAGTTGATCATATATTTCATTGAGAATATTATTTGCATGAACTTGTGGCAAATCAAAAATCTCTTCAATACAATTTGTATCGCATGAAACCTCATTATTAGTAACTAGCTTATCTGGTTCTACTTGTATTGCTTGATACAAGAAACTATAATTCATCTGCTCTCGAATTTTTTTTACTATTGCAGAAGTTACATATATGTTAAACTCATTATCAATATTCTGAAACACTGTATTATATATATTTGGAGATGAAATTAATTATATAATGTTAAACAGTTTTCATTCAAATCTTGTTTAATTACTTTATTAATACTTTCTACATGACTTGTTGACTGCATACCAGCTGTGAAACATGTGCTTGTAAAACACTTTGCTTATAATTTCTTACTTTCATATAAGCATTCTAAATATTTTTTGATTACAGGATAATTTTCAATTAATTTTTTATAATCATGTTCAAATGGCTCAGTATCAAGCTTATTGCAACATTAATAGAATGCTTTTGCAAAATCTTGATAGTCTTCACATAATTTATTTTTTAAATTAATTGATAATCCACAAGTCATCTAGACAAAATTTTGACGCAGATCATATATATATAGTATCGAATTGAAAACTTAAGGTTATATGTAAAGTCAGTACAATTTTAATAAATATTTATATTAAAGTAATATAAACCATAGTACAATACTATATGGTTTTAATACCATTAATCACCAGAGCTTTTTGTTAAAAAGTTTACTTTGGATACATGCGGTATTTACTATGCTACGTACATCAAGATTACTTATATATATATAATTCTATTCATATACACAGTACTTTAATCTTTCATATTTTATTTTATGTATGTATTTTTTAGGGAATTGACTTGACAAAAAAATCATTGATCGATAATTGATCAAAAAAATTATTTTTAATTAATCAAAAATCAATTATATATACTTAATCGAGTATAATTGATCAAGCATGGAATTTATAAGCTTGAGCATACATAATCGATCAATTATTGGATTAATCATTGATCGATTATATTATGCTTATATAGAGATTGACTCGTGTTCCATCCATTATAAAAACAAACCAAGTCACTTTAATGACTTAAGTAGCTCGAGTCACCCGAGTAGCAATAGTCATGATCCAGTTGATATATAGATCTTACACAAGTTACCTGGATGACTTACTATAATGATACCCATTTTTTACAAATTTTCTTGATCAATCAAATTTCAATCATTTGATTGATCAACATAATCGATTATTGATTAACTCACTTTTGATTGAGCCCATAACATCGTGCTCGATCATCAAGATAATTGACTAATAATCGAGGATTATATAGTCGAGACAATTCATTAGTATTTTTAATCTCGAAAGTTTCTAGAGTAGATTTTCTTGAAAAATAACATTTAAGTAGGAACATAATATAACAGGAGACAAGATTTTGCTCAAAATCAAACTAAAGTTAATATTCATTCATTTTTAGGTAAGATCTAAAGTTAAAAAAAATTCTGTTGGATGAATATATTAAAGGTACTAATATATTAATATCTATAGTATTCTTTCTTTCTCTTATTCTTTTTTCTATTTTCATGTTTCTTTTTTTTTCTATAAGCTAAAATCAGAAAAGTATACTGTAAGTCAAATTAGTTGTATCATTTCATTTAATCATCTTTAATTTTTTTGATATTTTCAATTCTAGTTCTATCTGTAATGCTAGCCAAATCTAAATTATGTAAGTATTATCTTGTTACTTTTTCTTTACACTATATTGTTGTAACTAAAATAATAATTACAAGATTATACAAATACAGTATGTGCATGAAGCATAGGAAGAAAGTACTTGCAGAGGCTTTTTATAAAAATAATACTTTAGCCAATGTTTTTTACCACTTTAATGCACATATATTGTGAGAAAAATAAACTTTATTTTGAGGGTTAGTATTGGGCTATGACAAAGCATAATAGATTATATCCACTATTTTTATTTAGTAAAATCATATAACAATATCATATGAGTTTACTAATTGAACATAGTGATATAACCTATTATATCCTTATTATGGGCCAACACTAGTGAGCATTAACAGAAATTTAGTTCTAAAGGAAAAAATGTTAGTAGAGACACGTTGTAACAATCACACTCTAATCACTAATAGCCTTTGCTATAATTAGTTTGATTTAGAAGTAGTAAACACTTTAATAACAGATAAAAGAGCCTAGCGTCTTACATGCAATCATAATATAATGATTAGAGGTGTTAAATAGTTTGCCTAGTCTTTGCTAGTAAGTTTGAATTAGTGTACAGTAGTATATAATATTATTTGATTAATCGCTTAATATTTATTATTATATAATTTAGACTAGTTATAAACTACTAGTTTATATCCCTAATGATGATTTGGAATAGACGAATAAATAAAAAAATTGATAGAATTTTGGCTTGAAATGAATATATTTTCAAATAGATTCTCTTTAATAAACTAAGCAAAATTAAAAAAATAGGCTTAATATTTCAGCATATTGTATTTAGCAATCTAGAGGAATCATATTACATAATGTATCCAATTCTAATAGAACTTATAATTTTTTAAATAAAGT